TCTCTCTCCAGGATAGATGTTTAACACACATAAGTTTTTCAGCCTCACAGTAGAGGTGAAAAAAACCTCCATAAGTACAGTTTCCATATCACTTCACAAACTGTACTAAATAATAAGATGATATCACCACAATCTTTTTCATTAATGACCTATCCAGGGACATAAAACTTTACTTCTAGGAGAAAATGCTATTTCTTTATTCCACTAACCAGTCCTTTAAAAATTCTCTTTTACAGGCCACCTCTTAAGTCCTTTCTTATCCATTTTAATAAACATTACTTAATAGCTCTGCACACTGCCAAAATCCATTGTCTTAAGCTGTAAATCGATAGCTGGAAAAAAATGCCTGAACTTTAAGCTGAATAAAAGCATTGTGCTTGCTATATATTTTGTTTTCTGCAAAACTGCAGCTGCACGCTTCAAATTAAACTATACTTGGTTTTACTCAAAACTGATCTATTTTCTCACACTTCATTGATCTCATTGATCCAGCTAGAGCAGTTTTATGATTGCCAAACCGTTTTTAAAGTAACATCTGAAGCTTTTCAGACCCAAGTCTAATGATTATATATGCCACTCTTCTCCAGCTCTTGGAAATAATCTTTAGTGACGTTGCTTTCAGAAGTGGGTCAAAAGCATTGTGGTTGAAAACCAGGTTTTCTTGTATTTAATTATTCAAGATTAACATTTTAAAAGCTATCTTTGATTTGGATCTGTTCCTGAATTCAACCACTAATTGGGAGGGCTGTTAATAACAGAATACATTTTTGGTATCTACGGTATCTAAACCACACAGAGGAGACTGCTTCTTCCCACTGATTCCAGAGTGACTTAAAGACCAAGTTCCTCAGGTATCTAAAGGTATGTAAATGCAGATGAGTAAAGTAGTATGAATCTCCCACACAGTACCAGTTTACTATAAACTTCTGCAAGACTCTGACTACACTCTGGGGTATGAGGACACACTCACCAGGGGAACTTGACCTAAAGAAGCAGTTCTAATTCAGCACTGTGCCCACAACGGCATGAACAGAATAACACATTCCCAGAAGGGCTCATCTTCATATAGGAAATTCTTGTTGGCCAGAGATGTTTTAAAATGTAGTTAGAGTAGTGCAAAACAGCATGGATATGGCTGTTTGGATAGACCTTCCTCAGGACTAAGCAGGGAAGAGGCAGAGCTTGCTGCCTCTTGGTCATCAAGCTTGCTGAAAGCAAGGACCCATCTGCAACGACACGGAAGACAGAGGAGATCTGTGTACAAATATCTTTGTTTTGTCTCCCCTAGCTGCTTGAATTTTCTCTGTTTAAATTTCTATCTTTTATTCAAATAAATGTCAGTTTGCTCATTTTGTGGAGCCTCCTGTAGGAGATGTTGCAGACTGTTCCTTCTCTGATCATGGTTGACTTGCTCTCCCATCATTACATACCATTAAAGATACTGAGTAATTAAAAAAAGGTACCACTGTTTTGACTTTGCTTCTGGCAAGTCACAAAGCTTTTAATTACTTGCTTTAAAGTGATTCTACCTGTATTTAGAAACCCATATTGTAAAAGTTGCTAATTTAAAAAATGAGAGGAAAAAAATGTAATAAGAATTTGGTTTGTATTAACTTTATCCTCAATCCTGAAATCAAACATTTGTATATATGAAGCTACTGTAAATAAAATCTCATTGCTGAGACTGTCTTAATTTGCAGCACCAAGTTTTTCCCATCAACAAACTAATATGCTGACAGTTCCTGGTTAGATGACTAAAAGCACATTTCTGACATGGCAGAGGAAAAACGCTGGGAAGCAAACCGTTCAGTCTATGGGAAAGTCATAGAATCATAGAATCGTTCAGGTTGGAAAAGACCTTTAAGATCATCAGGTCCAACCGCTCACCTAACCCTGCCATTCCACCCCTAAACCATGTCCCTAAGCACCTCATCTCCCCGTCTTTTAAATACCTCCAGGGATGGGGACTCGACCACTTCCCTGGGCAGCCTGTTCCAATGCTTAACAACCCTTTCATTGAAAAATTTTCCTAATGTCCAACCTAAACCTCCCCTGATGCAACTTGAGGCCCTCTCTTTTTGTCCTAAAAGTCAAAATCAGCTTTTTACTGCAAAAGTGACACCTTGCTTATGATATAGATGACGTCACAAAGAATCTTTTTCATGACACATACAAAGTCTGTGTTAGCATTAAGTACAGAAAGGCAATATATTTGGGTTATCTTTGAGGACTACACTGGCAGTTTAGGAGCCATCACATAAATGCCCTAAGCCCTGTTCTAACCAATATTTTTATGAGTGACTTGGATGATAGAAACAGAAAGGAAAATAAAATAGAGAATAGTAAGTATGTCTAGAAACCATGATCTATGAGGAAAAGCTGAAGACAGGCCTTTATATTGCGGATAGCAAGACTGCTGTTTAATTTTTGAAGTCCTTCAAGTTCTGTTTCTGCATGGTGCCAGGAGCCACCTAAATCTGCCTTGCCATAAGCAAACCGGTGTCTGTGCCTACGCTGCTCCACCCCAACTGAGATGAGTGAAGAGGCCCTGTCACACCCCAATCAGATTTTTACTGACACATGGCAGAACTTGCACAGAGCTGTGAGATGGAGCAGCTCCATGACCCCACAAGATCTCTTTTAACCTGCACACATATACTGCTCCATGTCAGGAGTATGTGCATGGCAGGCGCTCTGGTGGTCTGGATGTCAGTGGGAGCTGAGAAGAAAGGGTCTTTCTTCTCAGGCCTTTCACAGAAGTATGATACTATCCAACACTCAGTGACTTGCTTTAATGAGAGGCTACCTTCCAACTTGCACTAAATTATCATTCAGAGTTAACAGCAGAAGCACTGCTGCCATTTGCACTGGTTTCAATTTGCTGTCTACAAAGCTCCCAGGCTTTGTAATTCCACTTCTGAGCTCCTCCACCCCCTTGGTAACGTGTATGTAATGTATATGGAATTTGGGCACCTGCCTCAGAGGTAGTCTTTTTCAGTCTCATATCTACCTAAAAAGTAGAATCACAATATCAAATACTGAATGCTGGGCTCTGATGTGTACCTCCACAGAAGTCTTGAGAGAGAAATGGCCCCAACACTCTGAACGCAAAGACTACAGCAGAACTGTCCTCATCGCCGCAGCCCTGTGACAACAGAGAAGCAGCTAGGACCAAATAACTCCAAAACTTTCAAAGCAGGGTATCGAAATGGGAAAGGTTCCCAGGAGGAGTTAATGATTTATTCTAAGTTTGACAAGTTGCTTTCTCAAATATCAGTCCAGTGACCCACTGCATTTGATCCAGAACCAAAGATGCAGATAGCGAAGTTCAAATCTGTGGAGCAATTTTCTCCACAAAACTGAAGGCTATGGAGTTATTCCTTGTATTATTTACATGCTGTCTTACTGCTCCTGCAAGAGCTAGCTGGCATTAAGGAGAGGGGAGAAAAAAAAAAAAAAGATCTAAGCATCCCACCCAACAAAGTGCTGAATCCTGAAAAAAAGGGGGTTTTATTACTTAAAATAGTTTAATTGCTTTAGCACATTTTCTCATCTTAAGTATAACTTTACCACTTACTTAAACTTCAAATGCCATATTCTTTAATATGTTTGGCTTTCTTGCCCCTATTCTTTTTAATGGAATAACCAAGGTTGACAAAACAGCAAATGCTCTAAAACACATTTTCAAACCTATGGCATACTGTATAAGTGCATCATTACCCTGAAATGGCACTACACGGGTACTAAACAGACAGCCTTAACTCCTAGTTGCAGGACTCTGAAATACGGAAAAGCACAGGCAGGACGAACGTATTATTCCTAGTACACAGCATGAAGAATTTGGGTGCTCCCTAATGTACTTAAAAAGAGTCTTAGCAGACACAGAAGTATAATTCATAGATACAAACCGTGTGCCCCCCTCCCACTTACAAGCTGTAATAAGTCTGAAAACTATGGTCATCCAAGTCACGAACCTTTCAGAGGGGAGGAAAGGGAAAACAGCTTAACGTGCCTGCCTTCAAATCTAAAAACTCAACCAGATTTACCACTGTTTGTCATTCCCTTTAATTCTCATTATGAAGTCTACAGAATTTATGTATATTCTCTATACCAATGGACTTTCTGAAATAATTTATTCCAGATCCTTATCACTCTTTCTACACAGTTCTAAGCTGTACATTTCTATTTCCCCACTTTTAAGATTACTGCTAATTTTTAATCTTGTACAAAGAAAAGGATGTATTTATCCGTTCTACTAGATCATCTTCCCTAATCTTTACACATAAAATACTTATCTTTGTACTGCTTTTGCACTCTTGCCCAGACAGTATCTTCCTTGTGTGGCACAGTGACCAATACTATATACAGTATTCCAGATGGAGACTAACACTCCTGTAACCGTATCGCCTCTTATTTTGTATTTTATCCCTCTGATACAACCTAGTAACTTACTTTCTTGCAGCTGTGCACAAGCCTCATGGTTTCAATGATTTTTTCCACAATAACCTTCAAATCCTTTCCTAGTCAGTGTGCTGAATGATTGTTCCATTGCAGCACACACTGCGTTTCCTTTGGTTTCTTGCTCCCAGACTAATTATTTTACATTTTTCCACAGTGAACCGCGTTTGCCAGCTGTTGGCCCAGTCACCTAAACAGTTCTAAATCCTTTTATATCTGATTGTATCGTTCCTAATTCACTGTTCTGAATTTTACTACAAAAAAAAAGGTGGTGGGGGAGGATAAATCTTTGTGCACAAATATATGTTACTTATATGGGGGCCATATGCATGTGATCAGTAGAATTTATCATATGGTTTTGCAATCTGTCAGGCAGCTTTGCCCACCTCACTTGCATTTTTCCAATAATCCAACTCTGCTGGGACTACTTTGAACACTCCACACTTCTGAGCAGCTTCATACAGCTGCCACGAAAAAACCCTGCCACAAAAAAACCCTTTTATATTCCCAAATGTAAACCTGCCACTTCAAATCACACTTACCTGAAGTTCAATATTCAGTCTTGAATAGTCAGTGATATTCTGTCTGGGATCTGTGACAGATTCATGGCTGGTTCTTGTGAACCCTTGAGGATGGAGGTAGGAACTAGGTTCACCAAACATCCACAAACTACCAGTTTAAGATACACCCAACAGCTGTTTCCAGATTCTAGTTGCAAGAAAACTATCAGAATTTAAAATAACAATGCTGTGTGTTAGAAGACAATTTTTAGTAATTAAAAGATTTAAATTTTTCTTCTTAATTATGCTACTAATGTAATGTTAAAGGAGTCTCTGCTCATCTCACACCAACAGCAACTCAGAACCATTGACCAGCTCGGTGTGTGTATGCGGGGAGGGCAGATAAATCACATGAATTGCTAGCATTCATAACAGCCTGGTCTTTCCATACATTTGCTCTTCCGCTAAAGAAAGTCCTAAATTGCAACTTCCTCAGGAATTGGAAACTCTTCTGCTTAATGCAGAACTTTGTATTGCATTAGTGCAACAAATATTTCAATTTCAAAGCCTGTGGAGTTACAACTTGTATTTTAAAAGATGCTCTGTCACCTTCTACCTCAATAGGCAAGTCTGCTCAACTCACCTAGCAGCTGAAAGCCTCCAGCATTGCTAGATAATCACCCTTTTCTCCCAGTGTGAAAGAACAAAGTTGAAGCACCTACTACTTTTCAGGCTATCAAGTCAGGGAACATTTTAGCAGTGCTACAGCGCCTGTTACTCGCCACGCTATCAGCTCAAGAGAAAGCTTTAACAGAACTTGCAGGTTTCCGTGATTACTTCCACACAATCCCTGTTCTTTGCCATTAATTTGTCTTTCATAAAACAGTATTGCTGTTGTAGTTTTACACTTGAGACTATCAAAGACATGTTTTGAAGAACCATAAATTATATGTCTGTGATGCCATTCCTGTGGCATTACAAGAAAATTATTTTAAAAGGACAAATACTAGTTAAATCTGATATAAACTTGTACTGATTTGCTGACAAAACTGGTGTGGGATACGAATTAGCTTTGAAGACTGCATACAGTGCAGCATCAGTATTTGGCAATGTGCTAGTTCTACCTACGCTACAGAAATGCTGCAGAATAGTAATCTTCAACTCCCAAATTAAATGTGCTCTGCTTTCTATTTATAGAGATTTGAAATAGCAGTCTGTGCTTAAACAGACTGAAAAAAATTACTTTAGAGGTTTGTTTCTTTAATTATTACTTATGGTTTCTGCCAGAAATCCATTAAGGCTACAGAATCTGAGCCACTTGACTATAATTCTTGTCAATTGTCTGATATTTGATGAAGCAATTTTCTCTTGCATTTTTATTTCAAGTAGGGGTGGTTTTGTTTTTAAATATGAGCCAACACTTCAACGTTTTATTAGAAAACATTAAGTATAGGTTATCTCCAAATAGAAAAAGTTCAATTATCCTTTATAATACAGAACACCAATGAACAGAGAAGTTGACTGGTTAACATCTCCTTTTCTCTCCCTCTCAGTTTACAAACTGCAAAGACCATTTCCTCTGGCAGGGGCACCGAAGTGTTGCATTAGTGCCATTTTTTAAATTACTTATGGTGTTAAATAAAAGTGCAAGAATTCCCAAAAAGGAGTTGAAAGACATACTGAGGAAGAAGCCTCACTAGAGAAAGTGAGAGATAAATTAATTTTTCAGAAAATAAAGTATAAGGAGAGAAGGTAGAGCCAGTCATTTCTGGCCACTGCAGCAAACAAGGAGAAATTAATTAGTTTGAATTTAGATTAAATTTCTCTTCAGATGTTGAACAGTAGTTAAGCAAGGTATGTCTGGGATGACAGATGGGTCCTAAGCTCAAAGACCGCAGAACACTGTTCACAGATCACTGTCTACATGCTCATGACATTCCCAGATTGAGCCTGAAGAGTGAGAACTGTTACCTAAGACTCCTCCTGACTTCTGTAGAGAAAGATGCGTGCCTCCTCATAGTATTCAGGCACCTAAACTCTGATTTATCCTCTCATAAATCTACGTCCAACTTAACTCCTTGCTAACTAGGTGTAGTAAAAAATGGGACAGAGCACAGGAGTCTGCAATGACATTCATAGGTAGCCTACAGCCTGCACAAGTAACTCCAACTGCTGGGAAAGGCAGGAAACCTTTTTTGAGGAAACTAAAAATCACAAGCACTATCCATTTCTTGACATAAATCAGAAAAAAGACAAGAAAACCCAGCTCACAGCAATCACAGCAGTTGTAGCTCTGTGTGCAGAGAAGAAAATAAGAAATGCCTATTCCAATCTGTTCCTGCATTAAAAAATAGTTTTGATTTTATTTATGGAATTGTAAATTGAGGATGCATCCTAGCAGTAAGCACTACTCAATTATGGATAAATTTGGTCAAAACCCAAAGTAATTCTATCAGGAATTAATGTTAGCTAAACAAAGGAGTTCCTCTTCAGTTTTTCACCCATTACAAAATCTCCATTCCACGTGAAGCATTTCTAGAAAAAGAAGAAAAATGTAACAGTGAAGAGAAATAGAAAAATTAGGAACATATAGGACTGGAAAGGACCTTAGATCATCAAGTCTAGTCCTTTGCTTATTTTTTCATGAACCACTAAGTGCATCTGAAAAAAAAAAGTCAAAATGGAAAACATGGGGTGAGTTTATGTGTGTTCAAAGGACAATTATCTTGCATGATTAAGCCTGGGGCTCCTGGGGACTTTATAACAAAAAAAATCACCTGAATTATTATAGGACTTGCACTTTCTCTTGTTGCTTTGCTCAGCAACCACATAGTTATCACCCACACTTATATTTTCAACATCCAGCACTTCATTTAAATGACTGAAAGAACAACCATTCCTGCAGATTTATGGTTTCAGAAAATCTAGAAAAATCAAAGATAAAGAGAATTGCATATGTTTATATTTGGAGACCTTCTTCACAGTCACAGGAGATAGAAATGAATACTACAGAGATTCTGCATGATGTATGGAAAATGTGCTTTGATTCTTCAGCTGAAAAGACAGAGATGGTGTTATATCACATCTTTTGCAACAAATTTCTACTTAAAATGTAAAAAACATTTTACTGTTTGAACACACTAACAGGCCATGACAATACAGCTTTCAAAGTCCATTTCAAAGAACATTATCTGGAGGAGTCAACAATACTTTACAAACTCTAATGGTATAAAGTAAAAAATAAATCTCAGATAACCCTCACAATATAAGATGCAAGAAGCTCTAGGGTAAAGGAAACATGCTGAGGAGGAAATAAAGGTCAGCTACCAGAAGCGGTATCAGGGGACATTTTCAGAAAGAGATGTACTAAGATAAGCCTCTGTCTGCATCCACTTACAATTTAGGGCAGCGCTAGGGATTGAGACTTTTAACAGAAACACTGAGCTATATATTTGAAATTTGTTGGCATCAAGGTACAACATTTAAATGCTGAATTAACTCAATTACCTCAACATAGGCCTAACCTGACAGATGTATAGCACAAGTGGTAGCTGGACCATTTGAAGTGCGTAGGTGAAGCTTTTCTCACACTAGCAGCTACCATACGTCAATAAATCAGAGTAAGTATAGGTGCATGAGTGTGTAGTCCTGAAGTCCAGTAGGATGCTGATGACATGCAACAATGAGTCCCTTCTGCAGATGGATACCCATGAAGTAGTACAAAGCAGAAACTCCTCTTAAGGCCACTGGAATCAGAATTTCCATTGGTATGAATTTTGGGAATCCTTCATGGAGTAGAGTATATATTACAAAACACTGGCAGGTCATTACTTGAATATTTTATTGCAGCAAAAAGCAAACCAAACGTTTCTCATGTACTGCAACAAGGGAAATTTCACTCTCTGATAGGAAAGGTAACAACAGACGGTTTGTGATAGATATGACCCTGAGCATGAGTGCTGAGAATGCGAAAATTAATTTTGCTGAGTTTTGCATACAGTACTTTGAGAGTGGACATACAATGCGTCAGGCAGCTATTTCAGCTTTTCTATACTGGCGAGATTCTGCTACATCACCAGTCATGTATTATGTTTCTCTAAGAACAGTGTCTTTATTAAATCGTTGTGCAACCAAAGCAGAAAACCGTAAATGTTATTGTAGCAAGAGTTAAGTCTTCAATTACAAAACTGACAATGCAGTTACAATGCACAAAGTCTGAAATAAGAAAGTATACTCTGGAAATAAATTTGAAGCTAATCCCTTCTCTGAGCATCTGTTAAGCTAGAAGAGCTGAGATCCTGCCTCAAAAGGTGGTCCACCCTGGAAAGACAAGAAGATCAAAGTCCCTTTTGTCCCAATTACACCTGATGGCTATCACAATGCTATACTGTGCGTGAGCAAAACTTCAAAGCAGTCTTAAGGGCTCTTACTCTTTTTTCCTAATAAATTTAACAAAACTCATTGTGTTAGCAGTTTTGATTACCCCCGGATTTCTCTGAGAATACAAATGAAACAGTTTCATGTTACACATTATCTGCACAATCCTTTAAAATGCCCAGACCCTGAGCTATGCTGAGTTTTTTCTCTACCCATCTTCCCACTTAGGAAATGAAGGGACCTATCCTGTCATCTGACTTCTCCAAGTAGGGTTTCTCTGTGGTGGTTTCTAAAGCTTTAACTTCCCTAATACAAAACACAATATCTGTGTAATTTCTGTTAACTATGGAAAAGTTGCATCACCTTTTTTTTGACCTACTAGAAAAACAGGAACATACAATGCTGGGATACTAAAGAGAGTCCCCTGTACTCAAGAGGAGATAAATTAATATGCATCTGTTATACTGAACACAGAATGCCTTTTTATATATCTTATATGTTAAATATTAAATTGAAAAATGAAAAATCCATTTTTCTGGATTAATTTAGTTTCCATTACTAACAGCTACATTACAAAAGAGCCAGCACATTTCACCAGCTTGAAAGGGCCCAGTCACTGTGAATTACTCTCCAAATGACTGTATAGTTGGACTAATTAAAATTTGAATGATTTTAAAGAAACCGATCAAACCAGTGTAATATCCTGCCCAAAAGATTAATTTTTAAAAAATTCAAGTAAATGAACTTCACACATAGTGGAACAGTAAAGAAGGCATTCCTTGCAAACAAGAGTTTGATTTTGAGCAGTGCACCTCCATGGCCCCTGTGGCAATGTGGAAACCTGCCTGTGCAGCCGACCAGCGAGAGCTCACCCCAACGTTCTCAGTGGTTTCAGCCGTGGCAGGACAGATTTTACAAGCACTGCAGGCCCCACTTTGATATTTCTCCTGTCCTGTGAGAGGAAACCGATCCCAGTCTACCAGTGGTTCACAGAAGACACAGGCAAATGCTGTGTATCAGAAACGCTGTAACGTATTTTTTCTATTTTATGAATTCCATTCCTTCCAAGAAATTACTTGCCCAATAGGCTTTCTTGTCTATAAGTGAAGTCTCATGACATTGGCAGTTTCTCCTAAATTTGTGAACTGGAATATAAAAAGTTATTCCTGTAACATCCCAAGACAGAACGTTTTGTTTATAAAACAAGGGGGAAAAACCTCTCAGGGATGGATTGAGCCAAGCTTTAACCCCGCTACTAAGAGATACTATAAGATCCGAGAAGGTCCTTCCTCTTGCACACTTATCTTAAGGCTTTCCAAATCCTGGATCAGAGTTAGGCAGGAGATGGTCTTACACGGAAGCAGGCAATGAGGATGGGCAGAAGCGTGAGGCTAACTGCCCGAGGTGGGGGAGAGGGGCTCTGCACCGACACAGGCTCAGGAGAGGAAGGGCTGGAGAAGCAGCACACCTCGCAGGCACAGCACCTCCCCAAAATGAGCTCGACAGGTTTTTAACCTCCTGCAAGCAGAAAAAAAATTACTAAAAAATTAGTTCTGATGGACACATACCAATATCCCTGCCTCTGAAAAAAATGAGCAACTAAGTTAAGTATGAGTGAAGAATAATAGCTATTTTTCAAACACACTATGAGAGGAAAATTGACAGGCAGATAAAGCCCCAATTTGGAAAATTAAAAAATAAAAATCAGACTCATGGGCTTGCCAGACACCACTGTCTTTCATTGTACGTATCAAAAAACACAGTATCATTTCAAGTAAAGAACTCCAAACTATTCACATCCTTTCTTCCCTTCCTTGCAAATAATTTTGTACCTGGGAATTGTTAGGACTCTTTTCACACACTACCACTGTTTATAAGAGTAATACACCGTGCTCTAGCAGAATAAGAACTTCCTAAACTACAAAACCTGGCAAGCAATCACACTGTATATGCTCTTGTAAAACAGCGAGAAAAGAATTCTGCTTGTCATCAACAGTAAAGTGAATCTCTGCACTGATTAATCGGTTCTCACTTTCAATATTGAAAGTTGGCTTTCTGAATGTTTGATAGGAAGTATTTAATTTAAATATTAAAATGTAAACTTGATACTGCAAAAAAAGAGTGTCTACTTTAATGACGTGGAACACTTCTAGAAATTTAAAATCTCTAGGAATCAGGACAAAATACACCTCACCACAGCAGAAGCTATTTCATAATTTGACATTTCAGTACAGCAGCTTGTGAGAAGCAGATGCAAACATCCTACAAACGTAGTATCTCACTTTTAATGAGCCAAAAAAGGTCTCTGGCTAAAGTCAGTTTCTTTAAGTAGATTTGCAATTTAGTTCGTCTTAGCAGGAGCTGTCTAAAGACCAGAAGCTAACTGTGTAAGCCCACACAACTGGCTCTCTAAAGACAAATTTCAGTACAGGAAAAAGCCATTGAGCTGTCTTTATAATTCACTCAAATTACTAATGGGATATTGTAGCTTCCATTATTTTCAGTACCCTACAGCAACATAGCTACTTTCAAAGGAAGTTTACTTAATTATTGAGTTACATGGCAAGTTAAAAACATACACAATCCCTCCCTGAAGAGTATTTTTTAAGACATCAAAGCACATTTTCAAACATACACACTATTTTTGCACGGAGGGAAAGAAGCTGCATGTCACAGATTGTCTCCCTTGTCTGAGAAGCATCGTTCTCCAGCGCAGACTCATCAACTGGTGAACAAACTGAAACCACATTTGTTTTAGGAGAATGAAGGTGTGTGAGATTTCTTTCTGTGGCTGAGACATAGAGAACTGGTTTTAATCTCCAATATAAAATATCCAAAATGCATGCTATAAAGCCATTTTACTCAGACTAACGTTTATGTCTGTATCATGTTTTATTTTAAAATAAAATTGTGTCAGTGAAGTTCTTTGATCCTTCTGTTATTAAGAGTTAAACTTTTTGGCTGATGCCCTGCATACATTTCAAGCATGTTATGACTACAGTGCTATTTAACTGCACAGGGATTATATGGGAATTATTACAGGAAGTTTGATCTTTAAAGGAAAAGCACAAACTCAATCACCTTTGTAGAACTGATTTTTAAGGTTTGGGTGGAATTCTTTTCTTTAGACAATTTTCAACCTACTGATCTTGACTTAG